CGGTCTTAAGGCCCTGTCACACTATTGCGTATGAGAGAAACGTATGAGAAGCGTATGAAAATTAATGAAATAATTTAATTATACTAAAAGTTATTATTGCAAAATTTATTAATGTCCAATACAGAACAGAATTAATAACAGCATGCAGAAAGCATTTCATGTATAACCAGCCTTTCGAAAAGATGCTTACGTGGTAATATACTAATTCTCTAGTGATCCCAAATTTCCTTCGTTTATTGCTATAAAATATTTGAAGTATAACTTCGCGGTATAAACGGCGTCGCAATTTAGCTCACTATGTGATTATTGCGTTTCTTTGTATAATCATTAGGGTTAAGCCAGTTCTTTCATTAGTCTTTGTTATTCCGACGTTTGCGACCTTGTGCCCAATTTAGTGTATATCATGCATTGGAAAGAGGATGAACTCCTGCACCATATAGTTGAGTTTCGAAACAATTAGGGAGGCCGATTTTGTACAAACGCTTGCTGAATATATAGATGTTGGCACAGTGTAATTCTATTGTCTAAATTTAATATATAAACAAAAGAAATGAGTGTAACTATTCTATAAACAAATTAAAGCAATAAGCAACTTATTAATCCTTGCCGTTTATTTTATTTATTTACTAGCTTTGTCATTAATGATTGGTGATCCCTACAGGGCTTATTGCCCCATTCACAGGGTCCTTATACTAAATTTACATTTACATCAATTACAACACATTTTATCTACAATGATCGACAAAGGACGACACTTCGACACGATCGAGTGACATTTAACACAACCAGTTTTAAACGATTGTGCTGCATTAATGTCATATATAATGGACCTTGGTGAGCTTGTACCCAAATTTGCTGTACGTCATTAGAAAGAGCATGAAATACTGCATGATATAGTTGAGTTTCAGAACAATTAGGAATACTGATCTTACGGAATATAGATGTTTGCGCAATGTAATTCTATAAACAAAAGCAATTACCACCTTATTAATCCTTGCCGTTTTGACATTGGTGAGCTTGTGCCCCAATTTGCGATACATCTACATTTGTTAGCTTGTGCCCTAATTTAGTGTACATCAATGGAAAAAACATGAAATACTACTGTTATGACATTCAAAGTTTTAACCGGGCAAGGACCGGATTATTTACAGCAATTATTTACTGAGTGCAATAACAATAATTACAGTCTAAGAAGTAATAACACCAAATTGGCACTCCCAAAACCAAGGACTAATTTCTTAAAAAGAAGCTTCTCATATAGAGCGGCAAAGTCCTGCAACGAATTATCTAATGATATACAGGTAACTGAAGATTTCTGTGAGCTATCAGTTAACGCTTTCAAACGCCGACTTGATAAAACCGCTTAATTGGTTGGATCATTAATTATACATTAATTACACTGACCTGAAAGGTCAAGTGTCTTAAATCCCTAATTTTCTGTTTTCTGTTTTCGTCGAGAAATGGAGTTTGCGTTAGCGCATCGCAGGCTCAGGGTGCGACGATTAATCCAAAATGCTATCGATTCAAATGCCATTCGATTCCTCGACTGCTTGATTTAGTTTTCATAGTAACAAGGTCCGTATTTATGTACATAGTAGCCGGCCCATGCCATGCTTGTGGTACATCTTTCTTTATTAGCCCATACACTTGTACGCACGTGCACAATTACCAGTTCGAGACCTCCTGAGTCCCTATATCCATCAGAGGCCATGTGCATTTATGGATAACGTTTGTATTTGTGAGTAATACTTGTGTTTCATTGGGCATTACGAAAACATGTGCTGAGGATCACGCCACGCTTTTAGCATTTCACCGTTTCTTTGTAATATTGTACGGGATTTGTAGTATTTTGTACCCCGCGAATTTATACAATAGAATGGAATATAAACAAGGACAAGTTAAAGTTTTGACAGTTTGACTACAAAATATTGTATGCGCAGAGTAGAATTGTATACTCGATGTGTTTGTATCATATGCAATACACATATAATCATTCGCGCATCCGTAATGTACAGTCAATGGCGCGACATCCGTGATGGGTCCAAAGTTAATTAATAAACCTGCTACTGATCGACTTAAGACGTTTTACCCTCAGACAATACATCTATACAAAACGCGAAAACATTTACTTGCTACTGATAACTACAAGAAGCATTCATTTTATTGTGTTACTGAAGATTTGTTGCGTCAAACAGGGGCGGATCTAGGGTAAGTCCAATCAGGCGCGTGACTGACGTATTTTTTGCAAATAATTAATTAATTTATTATTTCGAAATTGGAATAATGAATTCCTGAATATAATATGAAATTCATATCATAGTCCAGTATACGTCATTACGAGCTCAGTTTTGAATAAATATATGCTTTATCTAGAGCAGCGGTAAAACGCAAGAATCTCGCAAAATCGGGTGGTCGTTATGCTCATTTGATTGGTCGAGAAGTCATTTGGACTTATCTCGACTGATATGTGGGGTGGCCGGACTGATTTGCACTTTAAGGGAGTCTTTGTCAGTCCATTTCTTTCCTTTGATTGGTCAATTTGAAAATATTGTGGGGTGGTCGGACTGATTTGCAACTTAAAGGAGTTTTTATGGGGTGGTCCGACTGATTTGCACTTTAAGGGAGTTTTTATCAGTCCATTTTCTTTCATTTTGATTGGTCAATTTGAAATTATTGACAATTCCTATTGGTTCATTTTTTTGGACTGATTCGGACTTATTCGCGGCCGGGGATATCCGATATCAGTCCTTGAAAATTGCGAAATTCATGCAAAGCAGTCTTTCATATTCCCGTATATGAAGGTTTTTCATAGTTGTGAGAATTATTTTACGATGTCGAGTATTTATATGTACGTGGCCGATTTTACGAGACGATTTAACGGCCTTTAATAAACTTGAATTGTCTCTGAATGAGGATTATTGTGGGGCAGCTGAGACTGATATCAAGCGAGCAGCTTTTATAATGTTGTTCTGTTCAACAACGAGAAGGCACTAGATCATGGTCGTAATTTGAGTCATAAAGCCAAAGGGAAAGTGTGCACTGCTATAATGTATGAAAATATCCAAAATTATGAAACAGAAATTAATATATTGCAATGTATCTTGTATGATAAATGCGAAGTTGAAATATAACACGCTTTAATACATTTTTACACGCAATCGACTTGCAACTTACAATGCGCTTTCGGGCCTTATAGCTTTCCTGCTGTATTTATAATTTATAAATGCATTGCCCTTTATAAAAAGGGCCAGAATAGAGCATTGTCATTGGAGTGTTAAAACAATATCATTTGGATGATTTGCATTGCATGAAAGATTTGCAATGAATATCGTTATAATATACAAGTGATATTTATAGCACATTGTAATTCATTGAATAAAAAATGCATTTTACAAAGTATAATTGAAATATTACTCTTTATTTTGCTTGAGAATTTTGATTCACAAACAGCGAGTTATATTGGATCGGTCATTGGTATCATATGAAAGTTGGATGCGTTTTGTAATATGACCCTCCGTTAGCAAATCTAATTCCGAGGACTGGGAGAAGGCACGTTTGTGAGATCATAAAAAAAGCATGTGCTTGATGTACTTTATAATCTTTGGAATTCTGCAAAATCTCACCGCCAAAACGCTTGAAATAGCATTTCAGAGACTCTAGATTTCAAAATTTTCCGGGAATCTCACCGCCAAAACGCTTGAAATAGCATTTCAGAGACTCTAGATTTCAAAATTTTCCGGGGGGGGGGGGGG